TGTCGCTAGACAAATGAATCCAGCTCGATTCCTTCCAAAGAAAGTGTTGGCGAACTATACTCTTCCACAAGGAAATCAACAACAGTGGAACACCTTGATGCAAAACGCATCCACTCTCATGGAACAGACTGCCACCAAGAACTACGTCCTGGGACCAGATGATGACCTCTACAAGCAGGTCCAGCAGTTGTTTCCATGGCATCTGACAAGGGTGCAGGTTGCCAAACAGCCATTGGTTCATCGACATCCTTCATTTGTTCCTCACACTCATCGAGGATCTGTTTTGCAATATGTCGGAAAAGAGGATGCAGAAGTCCAAACCGAGGACCTCAGCGATGTTCATTTTCCAAGGAGCTGTTTTCGAAGACCTGTTGAGCTTGCTCTCTTCTTCTACGGCTACCCGGACATGATCGATGAGAACATCGGCATCCCTGGAGAAGAAGCAGAACAGAGGCAGATGGAGAAGGAATTTGCAGAGCCCAATCCAACCAGAGAGATCTTTCATGAAGAGATCACCTTTCCAAACACCAGTGGCGTTGACAAGTCCATCAAAATGGCAACTTCCCGAACGCACAAGAACATGGGTCACCTGCCACCAAATGAGATGATCAAGCTGTTGGCGCTCAATGGCATTACAAGTGACCAGGTGATCAAATGCATCAAGGCCATGAGATGTTCAGCATGTCAGCGAGCAAAAGGACTTCATCGGCCCAATCCTGCAACTTCGACACCACAATACCTGGGACAATTCGCTGACAACGTTCAGGCTGACATCTTTTACCTCCGCGACATGACCACTGAGAACTACCCAATTCTCGGCATCATCTGTGAAGCTACCCATCTCCACACAGCCATTCGACTGCCATCCAGGAGACCCAGAGATGTCTACGAATCTTTCAGGACAGCCTGGCTGCAGCACTTCGGATTTCCAATGCGGCTATCAGTGGATGATGACGGAGCCTTTAAGGCTGAGTTTGACGACAAGATGACAGAAGGTGGTACACACCTCAATGTGATTGCCCCAGAAGCACATCACCAGCTGGGGACAATAGAACGACACAACGGCACCTTGAGAATGCTTTTGGAAAGAATTGTGGACTCTACACCCTGCACATGTCGAGAGGACATAGACAACGCATTGATTGCTGCCACTCAGGCCAAGAACTCGGCTACTTGGTCTTCAGGAAGGCCTCCCTATATAGCTGCCTTCGGGAGGATCCCTCGCTTTGGCACTGATCTTTTGAGTGATCCAAGAGCATTGATTTCAGGTTCCACTATGGCTGAGACACAACAACCAAGCAGCTTTGATGAGAGCAGAAGCTTTGAAGACCCTGGCAGAAGCGTCAGCATCTTCTACTTTGAGGAGAGCCTTGTTGAGGAAGACCAATGAAGTTGACGACTATGAGCCTACTCCGGGATCACTTCTGGCATATTGGAGATGGACTGTTCGCTCACATCGCAAACGGGGCGGATACAGAATAGCCAGATTTCTCGGACGAGATCCTGATGGTCGCAACTACTGGGTGCAAAGTGGGAGTCAGACCTTGCGTGTAGCACGAAACCAGATTCGCAATGTGTTCGGCTACGAGCAGTACATCCCTACACGGCAGGATGTGGATGCATTGAAACTTGCCGAGGAGAACATTCGAAGTGATCAAATTCAAGATGACTTCGTTCCAGAAGAGGTTGACATCCCACCAGCCGAAGCAGCAGAGCTTGAGTTCCAAGATGCAGAGTTCCCTGAACTCATCATGCCGGCAGCCCCAGATACAGCAGAACAGACAAACAATACCGAACCCAAGAACGACACACCAGAAGCACCCGCACCGTCAAGTCCAATGGCAGTGCACATTCGACAGGACATTCGACAAACCCAGAATGTCTTTGCGCCAGCTGGTTCAATGCCAGCGCCATTCACACCAGCCAGACGACATGGATCACACAGATCCAGAACACCCACTTCCAGAAGGTCATGCCAAGCCTCCAGAGCTCCCTTGGAGGACGCATTCGATGAGAGGGACAAAGATGCAGCGGCGTCAAGGGATCCATACCAGCTCCAAGACAGAATACTTCAGGAAGAACAAGCTCCACCTCATGAATCACAACCCGCCGGAGTTCCTCAAGATTCTGCGCAACTGGTTCTACAAGAACACAATCAAGATCCACAGCATTCATCTCCAGTTCCGGAGGTTGTAGACCTGACGGCGGAGTCACCGCCCCAGGCCTTAGAACAAATGATCCCTCAGACGCCGCCTGATCTCAAGGAAAGAGAGTTGGAGTCAAGACCAAAACCTCCATCTCACAGTCCAAGCAAGCGTCCAAGTGACGCATCAGACCAAGACCTTCAAAGAAGCCGTTTGAGGCTTTGCAAGCTGACTTCATCCAAGCCAGAAAAGTAGACAACCGAACATACGAGCTCTACAACTATGAGAGCGCCTTCGGTGAACCATTTCCTGACCTACATTGTTGGGCAAGACTGGACCTTTTGACATCGAAGCCGAGCCTCTCCTTGGCATCAGGTCCAGCTATGTCAACAGTTCTTTGGAGGAGAACTTTAGATGCGGTCACCGGTGAACTTCTCTTTGAAGGGCCAGTTCAACCAGAGCTGGAGGAAGATGAGTCACACCACTTCAAGGAGCCCTTGAACACCGTGACCGAACTTTGGCATTCAGGTAAGTCAGCTGCGCTCACCACTTCTTTCCTGGGCTATGATGATAGCTTGGAGGAGGTTTCAGAAGGTTGGGATGGCAGCTTTGAGAACCCCTTCACTGGCAAGAACATCTTCTACAAGATCTATGTCACCGATCTTGCGAAAGGTGTTGGAGATTTCAATAGTTCATTGAGCGATTCCAGCACAGACGAAGAAGATATGACCAGCGGAGGCCCCAAGTTTTCCAAGGGTATGACGCTCACGAGGCAAGAGCAAAAGGCCATAGAGAAAGAGTTGCAGTGCAGCGACATCATGAAACAGTCTCCTGACTATATCGAAGCCTTCGTGGACGCCGCCCGGAAAGAAGCAACAAGCTTCCAGACATGGAAGAGCCTGAGGCCAATTCCACCAGCAGAGGCAAAGCGCATCCTGGCTGACCCAAAGTTGCGCCGTCGAGTCATGAGCTCAAGGGCGGTGTACCGGGACAAACCCAAGGGTGTTGCACCTTTGCGTGCAAAATGTCGCGTGGTCATACGCGGCAACCAAGACCCAGATCTTCGCAGCATCACCAGGAATGCCCCTACTCCGTCTCGTCTTTCGGAACCATCTACGTTTCAGGTGCTAATGGAAAAGCTTTCAAGACCCAGACCGTTTGGAAGCTCTGGACCGGGGACGTCTCCACAGCGTTCCTTCAGGGCCAGCAGAACATGGAAGAACGTGAGGGCAAGATTTTCACGCGGCCGCCGTCTGACGAGATCGTCAAGAGAGCTGGCCAGAGTGCCCTGTATGAGATCACTGGCAACGTGTATGGATTGGCAAATGCCCCATATACGTGGACAGCTGAGGTCGAACGCCGCCTGGTTGCTTTGGGATTTCGCGTGCACTCGTTTGATCGCATGATGTTTTATTTTGTGAATGCTTCAGGTTTTACTTGTGCTGTTTTGGTAGTTTACGTGGATGACTTTCTTTTGACGCATGATCCCAGCTTCCCCTTTCAGCGGTTCGTAGAGGCCTTCACCTGGGGACCCCAAGGGTATGTGAACCCCGGTAGTCCTGTGACCTTTAAGGGTAAAGAGTTGGAAATCTCAGTGGATGCCAGTGGTGAAACCATTTTGAGCATCACTCAGAAGAGCTTCATCGATGCTCTAGAACGAGGCATTCCTGTGAAGAAAGCAGATCGGAGCAAAGTTTTGGAAGAGCACCAATGGCCAGAGTACAGATCCATCAGCGGATGCCTTCAATGGCTTGCTGGTCAGTCAAGGGTTGATATCGCCAGCGCTGTGTCTTTGTCAAACAAAGGTGCTGAAACCACAGGTGCTGAGCTAGAGTTGCTGAATGACACCTTGCTCTACGTTAAGAGCACTAGAGACAAGGGTTTGAAGATTTATGGAGTACCCATCGACGAGAGCACAACGCTCGTCGGGTTCAGCGACAGTTCATGGGCAAACGCCAAGAATTCGGCGAGTCAACATGGAACTTTAATCCTTTTGGCACCACCTTCGGTCAGCGAGAAGACTTCCGTTGGAGCCTTAGTTGACTGGAAAAGTTCCAGAAGCCGACGTGTTTGTCGCAGCACTCTTGCGGCAGAAAGTGTAGCCGCAGACAGCTGTTCAGACCGACTGGTTTTTGCTCAGTACAGCCTGGCCGAACTTGTTTTTCAGACTCCAGCCCATAGAGTGGGCAAAGTGCTCCGAATGCTGTTGGTGACCGATTGCAAATCACTTTACGATTGCATCTCGGCACCGAATCCGAACTGTGAAGATCGTCGTTCACTCGTGAACATCCGCGGCATTCAGGAAGTGATTGATGCAAGGACGGTACACTGGGTACCCACCACACTCCAGATGAGTGATTGCTTGACGAAGATCAGCCGTGCCTTGCAAGAGACACTTTTGAGTTGGCTGCAGTTTCCACGAATTCAACTGCGGAAGCATGACGAACCAAACAGAAAGTTGGTCATGCATGCCTTGGTTCGTCAGGTCGTTCCCTTCCGCCGCTGCCGTACAGGTACCAAGAGCCGTTTCCCTTTGCGTAAAAGGCCATGCGTCCGAGCATTTGCTGTGCCTTGTTCCTTGCGTTTTGAGGGCGGTCACTCAGGCACGTGACTGTATCAGAATAGGAAAAGAGGTGGGGAACTCACTAGGGCTCTCGCATGGACACCCTGTAACCATATTGATATCTTTTACGGTGGCTGGCTTTCACCCCTTCCCTTCTCAGGTAAATTTCGGGTCAAGCGATTGCCGCAAAAGGAACCAGTGTAAAAGGAAAGATGGGCCTTGCAGTAATTAGCTGGCCATCTCTACGTGTCTTGCGCGGATTCGTATCCTCTTTCTTGTCTCAGACGCACCAGGTGCAGGTGGCACCGGGTTGTGAGCTCAATGCCAAGCTGACCGCTTCAGTGCTGTTGCGAGGCACCTGTCAACCCCGCATTGTCATCCTTTTGCACACAGGGAAGGAATGACATTTGATATGGGTTGTGGATTTTGGCAGCAAGACTTGGAGAGCAGCAGGTCAGACCTTGGTTGAAGAGAGTAGCAGTGCGGGTGCTCAAGTGGTGGATCTGCCTCCATTGCCGGAGCTTTGGAGCCCAGATCGTCCCACGAGCCTGGGCAGCTACAGGTGCCAGTGTAAAAAACGGAAAGGGAAAGGATGGAAGGGCAGCTTCCTTGAAGAACCGCTGGCACTAATGATTTGGTATCTAATAACGTCCTTGCTCCTAGTAGCGATGCCAGGAGCCCCTAGTAGCGTTTTTTCTCCTAGAGATGGAAGGGCAGCTGGGCTTCGGATGTGCCACTCCGAGTCACCACCTTTTGTGTCCTCCATCGCAGCCGGCCAAGGATGTACACTGCGCAACTGGCACTCTGTGACTCGACCTGCGACCGGGTGACCTTCCACTTTGCATTGCGATGGCTGTCCAAGTCAGAGAGCCATGGACCCAAGGACAAGCTTGACGTTGTTTCTGTGTTGGAATAGAACATAGGATGGCTACCGCTGGTCAATTTGTGACTAGTGCTTTAAGTGCTTTGGTTTTGGTTTAGCCGCATTTTGGTTTCTGCCAACGGGGCACTGATGGTCAAGATTGTTTAAGCTGAAGGTGGGAAGGTATGAGGACTGGTAATGAGTGAGATGCAATGTCAGCCCCCTACTTTATCGTTTTTATTGTCAAAGCTGGCCGTCCCATGCAACCAGACGGCTGGCAGGAGGAAGTGACGTTGCTTCTCAATGGGGAGCCCGTTTTCCAAAGTGGTGTGCCTGCACTGCGATTGGAATCCGGTTATATTATATTGTTATGTGGCATGCATGGCGGGCTGATAAGGCAGCTTGAAAGGACGACGGCGAAGCATCCTAAAGCAAGACAAATGTATACGGCAGCGTGTACGGCGTATACGGATGCAGCCTCCGCTTTGACGCTTTGAGGACTAGAGTCTAGAGTTTATGTCAATCGTAGCCGTTTGGCTCCCTGGAATCATGTGAAGTCAATGGACGCACATAACACCGAATGCAAAAGAATGCCGGGCATGGAAAATTGCTGGAGCACCCATGATACCCTTGCGCATCCCTAGTGTCATGAAGTGATGAGAGAGGCCCCCCCTCTTTTGTGCAATTTTTTGTCACCTACTGCTTGTACGGTAATTTGGAGTGATCCGCACTCACCGTATCACTTGCCCATCAAATTTTCAAGAGGGGTGTTTAGCAAAACCCTCAGCCGCCCACTCCCATCTGGGACGTGGCGATGGGATGTGCTGGCGGCAAGTTTGCGAAGAAGTCTGGCTCCGTTCACCCTGATACAGGCAGCTCACCAGGACCTGAAGAAGTTGCAGAAGCACCAAAACTTGGCGAAACCAAGAATGCTAGCGATGAAATTCGTCCAGATGCACCAGAAGTTGTTGGCCCTGTCCCGCCTGAGGCGCCAGAAGTAGTGAGACCAACTGCTCCAGAAGCCCCACAAGTTGTGAGCCCAGATCCTCCCTCCTTAACCTCTGAACCGGCCTTGATGCCAGACCCTCAATCTTTGGAGAAGCCTCCATCGATACCAGAGCTCGAGGATGTGACGCCTGCTGTGAAGGGGGATTCTCCGGGAGTCGCACCACAAAAGAATGCCTGGGGACGGTTGATGACAGGATTTTTGATGGCCAAGCTTGACAGTATTTTGCAAGAGTCACTGGCCGTTCTTAGCAAGGCTGAGTCCAACCTCTTTGCTCACCACATTCACCACGAGTATTCTGAGGGGCACTTCCAGGTGGGGGGCCTTGTTGTTGCTACCTAGCACTAGTGGACACTAGCGGTTGGTCAGGACGTGGGCTCATTCTGTCACTGAAGGGTTCAAGTGCCTACTAACCTGTTGTTAGGTCCACCAGAAGTTCTTGAGCTCATTGGAGAGCCGCTTGGAAGAGTATCTTGGCGGATCCCTTGGCATTTCCGTCGATGACCTCGCTGAGATCTTGCAGCACGAGGCATCTGACAACGTCGATGCGAAGATAATTCTTGATCGACTGCTTCAGCACACGGAGCTTCATGAGTTTTCCACCATCATGCGCCAGCGCTGCTGGGGGAGTGTGAAGGAGGTGCGTTTGTTCTGGGACATCCAGAACATTGGTGGCGAGGTCATGGAGGGAGAGAGCTCCAGGATGATTCGGACCTTGGTGACCTTCTTGAAAGACAATTACATGTTGAGTGGTAATGTGGACATGTGGGCCGTGGCGCCTTTGCACTACTATGCGGACAGACAGACGATGCTTTGCCATGCTTTGCCATGCTTTGCCAGGTTGTTGTAACTGTACGACGTCGTATTGCATGTGTGTTTTGTGCTTGGCTCCTGAGCAAGGGGTCGGCTTGTCTCAGCTTCTTAGACTCGTTTGAACAGAGCTCCTGTGACAGTCTACTGTGGCTAGGTTTCTCGAAAGCTAAGGATGGTGCGCGATTTGAATGATTTTGGCATCACGGTGGTTCACTGCAGTGACAAGGCGGAAGCGGCAGATCACTTGATCAAGTCGCGGATCGAGAAGGACCTGACGGCCATGCAGAAGTCGGGAACACCTCCAGCGGAGACCGCATTTATCCTGATCACCTCGGACAAGGATTTCACAGATGTCTTGAGAAAGCTGTACTTCAACGGGCACAAGACGGTAGTCGTACACAATGTGGAGATGAAGGGGACGAAGAAGTCGGAACATTTTGAGAAGCTCACATTATTTTCGACGGAATGTTTTGCGTTTAGTGATATTGTGACCTGGGATTTGGTTCATGAGCAGGATGCCTGGCAAAAGGTCATGGGATGGGCCAGCTCCCGGGTTCAACCTGGAGTGCGTATTAAGACGCCTCGCCAGGAGGTAGCTTCAGGGGGGGGAAGGCTTTGGCACTGCACCTTCGAAGTGGACTTCGGCAAAGGGCAGAGGGCCTTTTTGTCGGAAGGGTGGCACCGAGAGCGTTACGAATCAGGTGCAGAGGCCGCGAAAGCTGCCCTGACCCGCTTGCAGGCACTGTTTGGGGATCGCGCTGAGGAGCGGGTCATCAAACAGGCAGATTTAAAGGCAGCCTTAAAGAGGTGAGCCACATTTGCGGCGAGCTGGGTGAGTCTAGTAACAAACATTTGGGGACACTTGGAAGCCACGTGCGTCTAAGTTGGGTGATGATGGGATGACTCCACCAGCCTAGGACAGCAGTCCAATTACTGTGCAGCCTGCTCCAAAGGAGGATGGCACAGGTTCCCTCGTAGGATTTTCAGATGGTAGAGGAGTGCCATTGCGAAAAAGAGTGGTGTTCTTCCCCCAGTGGCGCAGCACCATTGCAGAGCTTTAGAGCTCAAGGCTGAATTTGTACTGCTAGCAGGTTGTCCTAGCAAAATGGCATGGCCTTCTCGCAGTCAGTCAGTCAGTCAGTCAGTCACCAGACAAGGTTGTATATAAGACAATGCTTCGCGAAAGATCCACACAATTTCCATGTTTTTTTTTAAAACGAAGAATGGCCATCCATCATGAAGTAATGTTGGTCAACCACCATCAATGTACCAGCATGTATCAGAATGCATTAGCAGCAAGAACAGTAACTGATATTGACTGACAACATGTGACCACCAAGGCAACTGCATGCCAAGAGAAAAGAAAGGAATGAATAAGAATTATGATTTTGGCTTTCTTCCCCGTTCTGTTCCATTCTTCGAACCCTGTTGATCCCGTACAAAACCCAGGTGCTTTACCAGGGCTACTGGCCTGAATCATTGATCGCCCTCCCGGGCCCACTGGCACCTCGGTCACTTGTGCTGATGCCAGCCATTTAGGCAACCGTGACCGGAAGGACCTGGTGGGAGGTAAGGGGTTGCTTCTGAATGCTTCTGAATCGGCAGATGCGGTGCCTTGTGGAAGTACGCAGGCAACAGTGGTTACACACACACACACGCATGCATGCATGCATGCATGCATGCATGCATGCTTCATACATCTTCATACGCTCACTAGACTTAGACAACCAGTCGTGGTAACATCATGGTAACCAGACATTTTACTAGTATATATATATGTTGATATATATATATGTATACCTAATAAGAAGCTACTAGTAGCTCCTGGCATTACTACTAGTAGCAAGGAGCTACGAAGGGCATAGCTAATTTCCTCTCCCTCTCTCCCTCTCCCGATGTTCCGCTCGGGGCCTCCTTCTGCATCGCTGGGTAAGGCCTTGGAGGAGCTCCGGGAGATCAAGGCTATGGGCTTCAACCTAGTTCGGGTCCACGCCACCGCGGCCTGGCTGGACTTAGGGCTCCAGAAGACCCATTGTTGCTCCTAGTAGCGATGCAAGCTCACTTGGGCCTTCCATGAGCTTGAGGTCTTACCGGCGATCTTCTATCACTTTTGTGATCAAGAGGTGGGGTAATCTTGGGACTGCAGCCCCGGGGCCCGAGAACTGAGGACTGTAGAAACGACAACGGTCTTCTTGATTTCCAGGGCACCCAGGGGCCATCCAACTTTTTGGAAGGACGTTCGGGACATGCTAGCTTCCCCCCATGAGGGCACTAGCTGATTGAGCATATCACCTAGAAATATTTCACTTTCACCTGACGTGCGTATTGGCGACTTGGTGGTCACACAGTTGGACTTGTCGCCTTACAAGTGTCACAACCTGTGCGGTTTGGGCCAGGGCCTCCTGGTGTGGCAAGATTTCCCTGCTGGGGATGGCCGGGCATTGCCGTTATGGGATTCGGCACGGGGCACCTTCGAGCAGAGCCTTGGTCTCAACCAGCCCCAAGCTGACTCTCAAGTACTTGGGGTGCAGATGCGGCAGCTGACTCAAGCACTTGGTTTAGGGGAGTGACCAAAGTTTGACAGTGCCAAGAATGAGGACCGGCACAGTGAGCCCTTTGGAGATGGATGAGATTCAACGCTTTCCCGAGTCTGCTTCCAATTTTTGGAAGGCACGGGATGAAGAGGTTGAGTCAGGTTGAGTCTCAGGCACAATGCGTAACTTGAGACTCGGACCCACCTGAAACACTAAACTATCCTGCATTATAGTAAATGTATAATATATATATATAAATGATTGGATGAGGCTTCACACAAGGTCCCAAGGTGATAGGTGCCGGACATTCTGGGATTCTCTCCCAATCAGGAGCTTGAAGCCATGATCTCATGGCTTCGCAGCTTCGGATCCATTGTTTGCTGCTCGGGCAGTGATATGATACCCAGAATGCATCAAGGGATTACTAGTAGCGATGGCCTCCAACCTAAGAGGCAGTTTTCGTGCGTGGCTTGAGGACTATATCGTTGTGAGGCTGCAACTGAGGCTGGGTTCCTTTCAATGAAGCCTGGGGGCAATTCCAAACGATGCAAGTGGTGCAGTGGCTTCGGCAATTCGGTGGGAATCGCTTCTCAGATTTAATTATCGGACGATTTGGCTGTTTGTTCAACAGTTCCCATCCAAGTTGATGGCGGGGTCAGCTTCCTGCAGCATCTCTCGGGAGCAACTGAAACAGGAGGGGCCTCCTTGATCCACAACAACCAGGTCCATCCAAGCCGTATTTCGGATTTTGGACGCTACTTGACATACTTGAATTATTTTGTGCGTCTTTCATGTGGCTTATTAATGCCTGTAGATAGGTTGGATCAACATGGCCAGTGGCTGGAATGATGTGGCTGATCTATTTCCCGGCATGGATGCTGGTGATTTGGTAGATGCTCACAACTACGAAAACCTGCCGCACCAAAGCTACAGAATGGGTGGGCAGCCCTGTGACGCGCTGACTCCACGGAGGGGGAGAACTTCGATCAGTTGCATCTAAAGTGGGCTTTCTGATTGTCGTACAGTTTCACGGGGCATATCTCTTCCAAGGCTGCAGTTGGTCCGCAGCGTCCCCTTTGTTGCAGCGTCCCCTTGGTTCGGCGAATGGGCCGTTGGCAATATGCGAATGAATTTGGGGGTTCTCAGGCGTTGTTTCATTTTTTCCCGAAAGCATTGCGAAGGGTTCTTCCGGAAAATCCCTTGAACACTGACACTTCGACACTTACACTTACACACTGACACTTCCACACTTGCACTTGAACACTGACATTTCTACACTTACACTTGAACACTTACGCTTCCACACGGACACTTGAACACTGACACGTCTATACGTATCCCAGTGTAAGGGTAAAAAGCATCCAAGGGCAAGCATGCAAGTGTAAGTGCAATCCCAGTGCAAGGATGCAAGTATGAGTATGGAAAAGCTTGCACGGGAGATGTCCTAATGAAAAACATTTCCCCACTTTATAAATTCTCTCTTAAAGGCGGAGGGTGGGACGAACAGCGTCAACCGAAAATGCAACCCTCTGCGGAGATCGTGCGTGTCGAGCGAAATGCAGGCGAGAGTGCGATTTGTCACATGCCCGCGCAACCCTCTGCGGAGATCGTGCGTGTCGAGTGCGCGAAATGCGAGAGTGCGATTTGTCCGGTGCCTGCGCAACCCTCTGCGGAGATCGTGTGTGTCGAGTGCGCGAAATGCGAGAGTGCGATCTGTCCGGTGTGCGCGCAACCCTCTGCGGAGATCGTGCGTGTCGAGTGTGCGAAATGCAGGCGAGAGTGCGATCTGTCCGGTGTGCGCGTAACCCTCTGCGGAGATCGTGCGTGCGCGAAACGCAGGCGAGAGTGCGACTTGTCCCTCGTGCGCGCGTATCTGGGGAGCTGGAAGATGAGAACTGGCGACTTGCTAGTACAACTTTGGTGCGCGGAGCAAGCTGTGGAGCTGGAAGCTGACAACTGGCGACTGGGGAGCTGGAAGATGAGAACTGGCGACTTGCTAGTGCGCGGAGCAAGCTGTGGAGCTGGAAGCTGAGAACTGGCGACTTTGTAGTACAACTTTAGTAGGCGGAGTATCTGGGGAGCTGGAAGATGAGAACTGGCGACTTTGTAGTACAACTTTAGTACGCGGAGTATCTGGGGAGCTGGAAGATGAGAACTGGCGACTTTGTAGTACAACTTTAGTACGCGGAGTAGCTGGGGAACTGGAAGATGAGAACTGGTGACTTGGTAGTACAACTTTAGTACGCGGAGTATCTGGGGAGCGGGAAGATGAGAACTGGCGACTTTGTAGTACAACTGTAGTACGTGGAAGATGAGAACTGGCGACACTGTAGTACAACTATAGTACGCGGAGTACCTTGGGAGCTGGAAGATGAGAACTGGTGACTTGGTAGTACAACTTTAGTACGCGGAGTATCTGGGGAGCTGGAAGATGAGCACTGGCGACTTTGTAGTACAACTTTAGTAGGCGGAGTATCTGGCGAGCTGGAAGATCACAACTTTAGTAGGCGGAGTATCTGGCGAGCTGGAAGATGAGAACTGGCGACTTGGTAGTACAACTTGAGTACGCGGAGTATCTGGGGAGCTGGAAGATGAGAACTGGCGACTTGGTAGTACCACTCTGGTACGCGGAGTATCTGCGGAGCTGGAAGATGAGAACTGGCGACTTGGTAGTACAAGTCCAGTACGCGGAGGTGACTTGCGAGAGGTCAAGAACCTGCAGAAAAAGGGTGTTCCGGCGCGTCAGAAAGACACACAGAGAGAGACACATACACAGAGACCCACACACTACCTCAACTCATTCGACTTAACACTTCACACTGAACACTTAACAGATAACTCACATTCTGACTTCCTACGTGATGAAAACTGCATTCGGGCCACTCGTCGTCTAGTTTTTATTAAGCTGCATGCAAGTGCTACTGCTCAGGTACGAGGGTCTGAACCTTGGCAGAATGATAGATCGAAGAACCAGAACAGGAAGACAAGTCAAGTTGCCTCAGATTCGAAGAAGGAGGGAACACGCAGCTGAGGCGGAGCACCTTCCAATTGTGGCCTTTGCCAATGCAGGGTCGTGCTTTGGCACTAGGCGAATATGGCGGCCTTGGCTTTCCGTTAGAGGCGTGGGGAAGATGCACGGGACGAAACAGATGCGGCTCTGATGGTTTGACGTGCTAAGCTGCTAGCAGTTAGGAATAGCGTATATAGACAAATGCAGCAGCGATTTCAAGGCCACAAGCTGCACACAGGCATACCATGGCATACCATGGCATACCACCCCTGACACTTCTAATTCATCTCCAACTGACTGCACTTCTTGCAACTTCGTGCTAGGGCCACGAGTGGTCACCAGAGACTTCCTGGGCCTATGGGAACTTTGGCACAACAGGTCAGGGCCAGGCAACTGTAGTGGTAGTGTAGTGGTGATATATCCGTTTATTATATATAACATTATATAGCATAATATACTACAAGTTTCCGGAGAAGCATTTTCACGAAACAACTGCACTCCATAGAGCAAGAACTTTGATTAAACGACTATATAATATAGCTATTCACTGGCACCATTCCACGCGGCTAAGGAATGTGAGTCTCACCGCCGAGGACTGCTGGGAATATCTATGCGATGCTGTACAGGCTGAAACGCCGAAGGTCCACTTTGGCACTTTGTAGTTGCGCATCATGTCCCAACCGCGCGGCCCAACCAGTTGAAGCAGTTTGGAACACGGGAGCGACACACCTTGACATACTCTGGCATACCAACTGGCCATGCGCAGGAGTTTGGCCTGCGATTCCTGGAGCTGGGAGCACGTGTGCAAGAACTGTTATGCGAAAACTGGATGTCTGCCGTGGCTCCTCGTCCATGTTTCAGAGTCAGTTAGTTGGAAGAGCCTAGAAATGGCTGTGAATTTCCACTTGGGTAAGCATAGCACAAATTTTGAAGCTGCAAAATAATGCTGTTCTTTCAAGGAAGGAGGTGAAAGTAGAAAACACGATGAACTGGATGAACACTATCACTTGACAACAGGTGTATACCCAGTGGAACGACATCGAGGAAGAAGTCAATGGCTTGGTGACCTACGATCGTGTCTCCAAGCTGCCAAGAAGCACGGTTCTGGACTTCAATCGCCAGTTGAAGGAGGCCAGACTGAAAAGAAGCTAAAACATCCACAGGGCAGAGTGAATTTTTGCATGTTGCACGCCTTTGTGTCATGAATTGTCCTTTCAGGCTCATGCCCGCTGTACCCGCAAGTGGGACCAAAAAGGGGCATATTCATGAGAGAGAGAGAGAGAGTCAGGATGAGTGACACTCAATTCTGTGGCCTTAGTGCTTTAGACAATGTCTTTTGGAAGGAGCCTTGTGCAAACTTGCCCTGTACATGCTGTGCTCCAAATACTTACTAGGCCTGAAAGCATTACGCAGAATCCATTCTAGTGGAATCGGAGTATGGTCAAGCAACAACCTGCTGAAGCTATTTGGTTCAACCCAGCTTGTTGCAGAGAAGTGGCACGCTTCACCAAACTGGAAGGATCCTTCAAAGTGTGTGTGTCGTACTCGTATGCTCAGCCCGGATCAGCCCGGCGTTTGGACCAGTATGTTTACACAAGCCTTGGAAGTACAAGACGTGTAAGCCAATCGTCATATACAATGTTTCGAAGTTTTTAGGCTTGAGCATTCAGTTTGGCCCATCTGTCTCTTGCTCAACATGGTGGGTGGCCGTGTTTCGCAAATCCTTGGAGCGCAGTGCTACTAGCGGACAGGTTCCACACTTGGGATTGTTTTGCATGATGGACTTAAATTGCTCAAGGAGTTCTTTTGATGATTGTCACGAAAGCTAGCATGCTAGCTGAGTTCTTCTTTGCTTTAGCAATGTTGTGGTGGGAGGGGCTGCGTGCCTTAAAGATTGATATATCAAGCTAACCCCCCCCCCCCGTGGTGGGGAACTTTTAGACCAATGTGCCGCCAGGGCTCCTTAGCATACTTTTCATGCAAAACCATAAGACTCCCACAAACGACCAGCAAAGCAAATCGACCTAACAAAAAAGTAATTTGCACGAAACCATGACACACACAAAGCAAAACAATGCTTCATATTTTTTTAACCATGCATCATCAAAAAGTACATACAGACGCAAACTTGTGATTTTTTTACCTTGAAATGTTAAAGTAAAAAACCACAAGTTTTGTAAAAGAACCTGGATAAAAAGGACAACATAGAACCAGACTCATCCTTACCAAAGCTCTCCCTGAAGGAAAAAAACATAGAAATCCTTTCTCCTAAATGGATACCGCTTCGTTTGATGTCTGTTTTTAAGCTGGTGACCTGGATTACCTGAACTTTGGATTACCTGAAACTTCACAATATGTTACAAACAGGCGATTTGTAAACTATTTTAGTAGCACCACAAACGTATTTAATGCGAATGCGGGGGCGAAAAACATTAGGTTTTACATTTCAGGAGAGGATAATACCTATTTGGATTTGAGTTCAGTAAGGTTGTTTGCAACTTTGCAAAATAACGATCGAACAAGACACCATTTCTTACGTCCATTAGGAGGCTTACATGCCTTTATTCAACGATACAGAGCAATAGTAGGAGGTCAAATGGATCGAAATATTGTTGAATACAATAGACACTGTGAGTTGTATGTTAGAGACATGGATGACATAGAGATGTCAGCTAACCCAAGATGGGACGCTGACTTTCATGACTATGCTACAGTAATGGTTTGGATGTATTATTGCAGGCTACTACTGCTGGTGTTACTCCAACCCCCGGTGTAGTAACTGTATCCCCTGACGGTGATAAAAATGAATGGGGTAGAATAGATAAAATATACAGTATACAAGACACTCATTGACAAGAATTTCCGGCGCTAATGGTAAAGCCCGATTCAGCCATAAGCCTGTTTGTGGGTTGATGCAATCAAATTATTATTTACCTTTGAGGTATGCGCCTTTGGAATTAGAATTCGCAATTGTTAATGATGAATTGGTACCTATTGTAGAACCACAAGGAGGCGCAGTAGGAAGCCCGAACACTCAAACTGACAAACAGGGGTATTACTTTCAAGCAGCTAACACTTCTACACAGTGGGAATTAAACAATGTTATTATCAGAGCTGAAGTAATGACTTTAGACAACACTGTTAATAACAACATAGTAAAACATTTGTTGGACGGTGAGTCACTAAAACTGGTCTTTCCTATGTATCACACACTAACACAAACCTTCAACACAGGAGGCGGTGAATTGGATATGAACATTGTTAAGTCATCATTCAAACTCACAGGAGCATTCAGTACTTTATACAGAACACCAGGAAATGGAACTATCAATGCTAACTATTTGCCAGACAACTATGTTCATAAGCGATGGAACTACTTTTACAATTCTCAAATTAACTCATTCATCTGGGACAATGGAGCAGTAGCAAATCCTCAAGACCAAGGCAAAGGTTTCCAAGACTATGGTAGAAACTTATAATGGCAAATCCAGTTAGGCAACAAAAAAGTATCCAGAGTTTGAGGCACAATCATTATCATGCAGAAACCTTCTACTATTTGCGAGGAGCCATACATTACATGAACCCGGACCAAGATGCATTGATTTTCAGTTACAGGCAATACAGAGAAAACACATTTATTATTGGTATGTCATTTGAAAAGATGGCTGACGTCAACTTTACTGGAGTTAACACAAAAATGGGTAGTTTAATGACTATGAAAATCCGCCCTACTGAAGGAACTCTAAACACTACACCCGGTGATAGCACTAACGCAATTTATGCTGAAGACATTCAAGAGGTTTTTACCCACCTTATTAGTGCAAGCGTGTTAGAAATTTGCGAACGCGGGTCTGTGGTATACGATTAAAGTAATAAGTCTACATTATTAATATATTTGTCTAAAACAAAATGTATTAATAATGTTTAAGTATCATAAACACAACAACAAAACAGGCACTAAAGCACATCTTCACAAATTTTTAACAATTTTTAGTCCATTTGATATGAGAGATACAAGTTATTTGGAGCATTTACACAAGGAACTTAAGTTAAGAAATGCAAGAGAGGGCATGGTAGCATTAAGAAAGGACATGATACAAGCAAATGCTAGGTCAAAGTATCAAAATGAACTGGACAGGTTGAGAGGTGAAGTCCAAAGAGACAACCTACCGCACAACACAAAAGAACACAGCATTAAGCAACCTAAAGGCCTATTTTTTTGCATAAATATATTAACATGTTTACCTAACATATTAATATATGGCAACTATGGCATTGGAAATGATAAATCCTTATTCAAAGTATGAATTGAAGAGGCGACCAACATATGATGAAATAGCAGGGTTGATAGGAGAAAATGAAACATTAACTGGAAGCCTTCCAGACAGAAGGGCTACATTTTTTAAAGCAAGTCCTGAAGGTAGCTTCTTTGATGGCATTTGAAGTATTGAAGGAACAAAAAAACAGAATACAAGAGAGACAGATGAGAGAACTATTATTGAGACACAATTTAGGAGGTGGAACAGTTCATGTTGAAAGGATGAGGCAACAGAGTAGAGACACAACCCCAATAGAAGCAGAGACGCCAAGAGATGACAACGTTAATAATGCATCCATTCAAGCACAACTACAAGAAAGAGCCAGAATGGCACAGGAGAGAAAACAACAAGGACAAGCACACCAAAGTTTATTAAGTAGGAGCGCCACACCTGTTATTGATATGATATTTGGTGGATTGAGTAGAACAAGTAGCAGAGTAGGAACGCCAATGGCTCAACCGGTGCCACAATTAGCAATTGATTTAACACAAGACAACCAACGAGCAGAAGATGAAGTAGAAATGATGACAGCAAGAGAAGAACGCGAAGCCCTGAACCCAAACAAGCAGTATTAAGAACCATTAGCTATAGATTAAATGTAGGAACTATGAGCGCAGAAGCATTGAAATTTCAATTGTTTTTGAGAGGCTTTGATGTAGATGACCCAGAGAATGAACTACCAACAAGAGCAAAAGGCAAAGGAGGAGGCAAAACAACAAAGCAATATTATGTAGATGTTGATATGATGCAAACCGGTGTATGGCAAAGAAGAATTGAATCAGAACTATTGAAAAGCAAAATTAAAGAATACAGAAACAGACACAGCGCAAGGGGAAGTGAAATGGCATAATTAAGAATAGAATCTAATTATTATTAATCATGATTTTAGTACACAATAGACTGAAGAAATACATATAATAGATGATGATGAATACTTACATTATTTTTAAATAAGCCAACAGAAAGAAGAGAACGAAGTAATGAGATAGAATCTGAAGATGAGGCAACACAATTCCCAGAGATAGAGAACAAACAAACGCAAACCGATAAGAAAATTACGTTTGACAAAGAGACTGAAACAGTAGATAAATTAAACCGGATAATAGGAAACTATATTGTGAAGATGAGTTCAAAGAACTTCAAAAGTTTAGAGCCATCAAGTAGTGATTTTGAGCCATCAAGAAGTGATAAGATGGTAGAAGCTTTTACAAAAATGATTGAAAACCCTAGCAGTAGTAGCAGTGACAGTGAAGGCTGATGTTTCAAAAGGCATAGAGGGAAATTAAAGATGGGTTTTTAGATTGGCAGAAGTAGCAGGAAATACAGCTATGATGGGTGGCAGTGCTTTATTGTCAGCGATTGATTATTTGACACAAGCAGGGGAAAATTACAATGATAATGAAGAGGAAGTTATAAGCGTGCATTCTTCACCTGCAGTGAGTGTCCATAGTTCTCCACCACATTCAGTAGTAAATGTTTCATCAAGCAGTTCATCACACAATCCACCCATGGTAGCACATCCAACAGATTTACCAATACCTACATCATCAAGCTCATCAAGTAGAAGAAGTAGTAGCGCTTCTGCTTCTGGTTCAGCATATCCAACAAATAAAAATAACAAATAAGTTAATATTTTTTAATAGTAAAATCATTTTGGAGCCACCATCAGTATTTGCCTCGTTTCACTGTTGGTGACAGGTATCCTTTTTGGAACACCCCGTTCTTATCTCTTCTTTTGTTGTCTGAGGCGGTCTCTGTCCCTCAACTTTTGTGCATATTCAGGGTCTTCTCTTCTCCTTTTCTTTTCGTAAAGCGCCTGAAAGATTGACATCTGCACTTTAATTTCATCCAGTGTTAGGTCCGGTCTTAAATGTTTAATTGAGTAGTCATTATATCTTAATGTATATAGTTAATATGTCTTTATATATATTCCATGTTAACGATACTAAATAATAAATAGTTTATAACATTAAATGGTTTTTGTTTTAAAGCTTTAAGCTTATTATATATCAATATAAAGTATTATATGACCAAAAATATCTATAGAAAAAAACATATTACCAGTTTAAGGAACATAAGAGACAGGAAAAGAGGCAGGGTTGACACTGCTACACGTCCAAAAATCAATACTGTTATTGACCTTTATGAGGACAGGAAGATTGTCCAACATGGCACTGCT